TGGCGAAGGAGTTATCCACTGAGATTCACCATTTCCGCCAATAATCGTGATGCCTCCCAAGTCTGCTCCACCAGGAGCAATATTTGGAGTCTCTCGTCCGATATCCCCTTGGGAGGGATTCGCAATGTCTTCTCCCATGTCATTTTTGTTGTTATCCATCTTGTTATTGTTGTTGTTGTCCATGTTCCCCATCCGAACATCTTGAGTACGACGAGTTGTCAACCCAGAAGGTTTTGTACCTCGAACGCCACTGTTTGTTCTTGTTGCGATTGCAGGGGATGTCCACCAGGCCAGAATTGACAGCATTGCTGTACCTCTTGATAGCAGCCTCATCCTTGACGATACGGAAAACTTGGAAGGAACGAAGATTTCACTACAAAGACTTTTATCAGTTCAATAGAAATAATGAGGCCCATTGTCTCAGATTCACAAAAGGAACATTTCCAAAAGCCAGAGCTGCGCACTCCGTGTTGGTTTCTTTGTATTTAGGCTTTCAGCGGAGTGAAGATGTCCCATCAGCGGAGTGAAGTAATGCACCAATTTGACACAAAAAGTGAGAGCCGCGGTCAGTTTTGGAATTTGGCGGATGGTACTTAGGGTCCAAGCAGTTCCATGACCTCAGGATGCGACATGAGAGAGCTTAATTAAGCGTATTTGACCCAGTAAGTGCCGTTGAATACTAAAAAGCAGCTACAGTAAGCTGTTAATAAACTGGGACAACACGCCTACGCACTTGGAGGCATTACCCATCAGTTGATGATGCTCTGCACCTGCATCCCATCTCAAGAAGCGGAGCAACAGGTGGGCTGACTATGTCGCCACTCACCCAATCTTTGACCTGTGTGGGCAAGTACCAGCCATGGTTGCCAGGTACTCCACACCAGCGGCGATGGCTGTGGGACTGCCTTCAGCCACAGTGCTGATTGTAGTGAGATGTAGGTAATCTTATACGTTTCATAGCATTGCCTGTGACCAGGTTCTTGCAGAGCCTCTGCCTGGATTTGGATCCCATGTTAGGCACCCTTTGCGGAACCAACATATTTTGAAAAAGAAAGATGAAATGGGAAACAGGAAATAGAGAGCTCTGTCAGCAAGACTGAAATAGGTTCTGGTGGCATGGCGTTAGTTGCTTAGTCCATGGTGACACTGTCCATTACTTTCTCAAAGAACCAAGGGCGGGCTTATGAAGCCCACCCGACCATTGCTACGGTATGAGTAGCGGCGAATTACACCGTCGCTACAGTGCAAGTACCATACCGTATGTACCGGTACAGTCCTGTACCCGGTACCCACAATTTGCCAGCCCTCAACCGGTTTCGCCAGCCCACGCTAGTTCCCACGCGGAGCGCCCACCAACCGAGGAAATCAAATAACAGTTAAACAAGCCACCCAGATAAAGAGTGATGCGGATCCAGATCCAGGATCTCACTACGATAGTGGCTCGATATATTTTGCGCGTTGCTGTCGTACATCGATTCATTGAAGATGGCTCGTGTGATGACTTTGTATTTTGTGACACATGGAATGATTTGGATGCACCAATGAGTGACAACAGGAAAATCAAAAGAGCGAATCTATCGAGACCTAAACATGGCATCGACGGAGGTCATTGAGGACTCATCAGAGAAATAACATCATGGGAAACATCAAACAAATCCAATTCCCAAAGACAATTGATAAAACTTCAACTCCAATCAAACAGACCAGTCAAGCGATTCCAGATCCTTCCACCAAATTTTTTATCGCTAAAGCCATCTCCATCAGATCGATCTCCATATCTTTGACCACCACATCGTCGCCCAAGGTGTCCAAAAAATAAGCCCAGCGACCTTCTTCTTCTCCTTCCTGAGCCGCTTGCCGAATCATCACTTTGTACAATAATCCACTGGCTGGAATACGCAGTAACCATGCTACTGGAGTTGGATCAGGCATCATTTCAGGAAGTACCCCGGCATTCGGTGGGCGGCGCCACGCAGTATCTTGAACTGCTGGCAGAGCTTGATTAACACTGTACTGTGTTTTGTACTGCTTTTTTGTTTCGTCGGAGAGGTCTTTCGTCCCGAAACTAACAGCTTGAAGGACTGAGACTTCATTCGACTCATTCTTTCCCCAGAGCACCATGGCTGCTTCAAATGATCTGTCATTGGGATCAGGCTTTGAGATTGTTGCCCCCACAAAGAAGCGTGTATACTCAGTCCGCCCCATCAAGAAAGCTCCATGCCTGCGTAGATCAACAATCTTTCGATGATCGTACTCGATTTCCCAGTAAAGCCTGGTGTGAGGGATACCCTTATGAGCCCTGTCAACATCATTTCCATTCCTGTCTTTGTTGTTGGGGTTTGGCATAATGCGAAAGTCGGGTTGAACCGCATTATGGGCACCAGAGCTGCACCCTGTAGCGATGATAGACCTCAGGGCTCGGTGAGCAGTTTTCCTCCAATTCTGAGCATCTCCATGGAAGACTGCATCAACTGCACCATGGACTGGTCCTGGCATGTAAGTCATGAACAGAGCGCCGACATCTTCTTCCTCCCAGGAAAGGTATGGCAGGTAAAGATAGGAGGCATTTTTTATAGGACCTGTATGATCGTCGAGGAAATCCTTGAAGGTGGAGTCCTTCGCGACACCCACTGCAACAAGGACTGGACGAACAGCACCACTGGATTTCTTTGCACTCATTCGCTTCTCGTACTCTTCCGCGGCCTTCTTATACGGCAAAGCGGAAATCTTCTTACCCTTCGATATGATCTGTGGGTGATAGGTGCCCGCCTCTAACAGATAGCCTTCCTTGCCGTGGTAAGCCATTTCTTCTTCGAGCCATTTCTTGGCCTTCTCCTTGAGTCCAAACGGGTCTTCCACTACTTCTTCCATGGCCGGACTTATGTTTTCTTTTGTTTTCGTCATCGGTTTCGTGGAGGCTACAGGGTCAATCTTCATCCGTTTCGGCACGACACCACTTGTGTCACTGTCAGCGCGGCGTGGAACTATTGCGGCTACCAACAGACACCGAGTACCCACGATCCCCAGTGGTATCGCCGATGGCCTCAAGAGAAGACATGCCTGCTTGGACTAGCACTCGTAGCTAGCTACCGCTACTTGGATCGATACTGTGTGATGATTGAAGGAACCCTACCTGGTATTCCGAATTCCACTCAACAAATCCAGTAGTGCCCACCGATCTTTACTATTCCTGAGGGACAGATCCTCGCCAGCCCAAACTAGAAGAATGTTCCTGTATAGAAACGAGGACACGATTTAGATAAGGCAGCAGTAGACGTTGGTGAAGTCAACATACCTGCAATTGTCTTATTGCTTTGTGTTATCGTACTGCAGGACAACCTGTCAATTCATGACCTGTGCTGGATTCCAAGGTCAGGAATTCCTTAAACCTTAACCTTAGCAAGAGGACCGAGGTGAGATCAATGTCAGAAAGGTATTTTCGTATGACGGACAGACGACTCGGGATCCACAATCACGGTTCGTGATTGGGGATGTGTGACTCAAATCAGATGGTTATCCGATCATCATCAGATGGCCAGGAGTAGTTACGAGAGAACGAGGACAATGGTCGTCTATGATGCAACTTACAAAGGTTAGGAAGTTAGGTCGAAGAGATGAATGCAAGGAGCGACGGGATGGAACGAATGAATGGACGGATGAAGAGTCCATAGTTTAGTAAAGTGGATAAAGCCCTCCAGGGCCAACCTATGCACTTCAGGAATATAGAATCGACGAGACCTAACTGCAAGATGAAACTGCGAAAACAGAGTATCGAAAGATCCTGTATATGTATGCCATATCGAAGCTCATGTAGAGCTCACAATCTGAACGAGAGAGAAAGAGAAACAAACAGATAGCCAGTCTACTAGACAGTAGAGCTGGAAGGATATTGATTAAATTAGAAGAATTGTGCGTTCAAGTTCACACTTTTACAACACGTTTTAAAACGATAGCTATCAGGAAAGAGTGAGCTTGGATCCAGGGTTGTCAAACAGAAAAGAGAAGAATTGAGAAGTAAGTAAAGATGTCCACGGAGGTAGAGGTATCATCGTCGAGCAAGAATCCAACATCTTCGATGGGAAAGATGAAGAAGTTCAGGTTCTACAAGGTCAAGATGATGGCCCATTTATCGAAGTATGGGTACGTAGAACTGATAAAGACTCTACGGAGATCAAACCGGACAACTGGAAAACCCTACAGGTACGGCAAGTTGCGGACGACGAAAGTAGAAAAGGATCGAAGAGTCTGCAGAGAGAACAGCAAGGCTGCTGGATACTGCTGGATTCGATCATGTGGAGACCATCGAAAGGCAAGTCGCCTTCGACCAACTGGCCTCACACCAAACGAATGACCATGCTGATGGGAAATTACAAGGGCATGTTGGGAGTCAATGCTGGACCATCTACGATGCGAAGACAGTGGTGAGTGCAGCTCGACGAACTGAATTACTACGCGATAAAGGACATCTCAAAGAAAACCCAAAGAAGTCGAATGGACTCGACGTGAAACGCAAGAAGCTCAGCGAAGGATGGGTTCAAGATATCCGACGAAGAGTACATCAAGAACCTTCTCGAGAAGTGCCGAAGAAGGAAGGAGAACTCGGATGTGTACCATGAAGTGAAAAAGAAGTTCTGAGAAGGATCAAGAAAACAGGATAATGGAATAACGGTAAAGGGTGTGGTGGAATGACTTATGAGAAATCTACGATGAGATTAAAGCACGGAACAAGTCGACAGACCACATGGCGAAACAGCTTTCATGATGAGGAAAACAGATTTCAAGGCATGATCAGGACTGTGGAAGATCGGACACAAGCAACAAGACTGCCCAGACAAGAAAGGCTCGAACGGAGAAGCATACGGACAAAGGTAACAAGAAAGATCAAAACGGTAAATTCAAGCAGGAACAAAGGGAGACAGTAGCGGATTTAAGGAAAGAAGAAGTTCAGCCGGAAAGTGCTTCCACTGTGGAAAGATTGGGCACAGGAATCGGATTGCCTAAAACTCAAAGCGAGAACAACGAAATGTAGAAGAGCAAACACAGCAAAGAAACAACGGAAGATGATGTGCATTCATGACGATGAGCGTAAGAAATATGCATGCCATGCCGAGGATAGAGTTGTCAGACGGATGAAACAGGAGGAGTATAAGAAGCATCGGAATATGAAGGGAAAGAATGGGACGCGTTCTGGGACGATTTTGAAAGCGGAGATGACGTGGATGAAAATGGAGAAAGCTTGGAGCATTAACTTATGAGCGATGGACGCCCTTAAATCCTCCAAGAAGAACAACACGACTGACATAAAGAAGAATCAGTCACATACAACAAGAACCCAGACGTTACCTATCTTTCCTGCGAAACAGAGAGCAGGGCAGATTCCGACAGCGAAACACTCCAGGATTTAAAGCAAAACGGCTACAACGAAAAAGTTTCTGAGAAGGAGGAGAAACAAACGAAACGACAAATCCGCCCACAATCTAAGAAGACGACAACTACTACAGCTGTTTGAGCGAAGACGACGAAGAAATAAAAGATGTCGAACAGATTCAAAGATGCCCGGAACGTGCTAGAGGCCCAGCTGTACAGAGGTTGGAGTCAACACATGATGAAGATCAGAAAACATCCAATCCCATTGAAAAACCGACATCCCATGAACAGAGCAAACAAAGGATGGGAATTGGACGAATCACACATAGGTGGTATAAAGTGGAGGAGAATCGCGGAAGCAT